TCACAACCTTCTGGATCATTTCCTCAGGCGGCAGGCCTGGCACCGGGAGGTTCACACCTGCTCACTGTGGCAGCATTTTCTACCACAACCAAGAACTGGCCCTTTGCGGTTATTGTTCTGATCTTTGAGAGTGTTCACTCTGGGTTGTTGGTAACTACAATTTAATAGGTTCATGACAGAGTGGAAAACTAAACTCAAGGTCTCTGAATTCTGTCTCTTCCAAGTCTCCTGCTGTACACTGGTGTTAGTGCTAATGTTCACTGAGTCCTTTTTGAGTGCCAGACACTGTGACAAACCCTTGGGTGGCACCATCTCACACAACAGATTTGTATGGTAGGTACTATCACTGTCCTTTCTTTTTGACCCACATTCTTTGACCAAGGAAGAGAAAGAGAACTCACATTTGTTGAATGCCTGCCGTGGGCCAGATAGTTGGCAATATCATCGCCCACTGTGTTGGTCAGAATTCTGTCGCAGTTGACAAAAATCCATTTCAAATGCCTTAAGCTTAAGGGAAAAAAAAGTTTGATTCTTGGAATTGCGAAGTTCAGGAGCACTGGGCTTGGCTGGAGTTGGAGGCTGGAGCATTAGGACTTGGCTGGTTTGGTCTGTCTGTGTTTCCCTTGCCCTCAGTCCCTGGGATCTGCTCTCCGCGTGGTTCTCTTCCTCAGGCAGGCCCTCTGCCTCTTTCCACAGAGCAGCCTCTGGCCATGTTAGACTTACATGCCTCCACCCCAGTGGAAAGGGAATCTTTCTCCTCCAGTAGTTCCACTTAAGTCTCAACATGGTATCTCTTATTACTGACTTATGTCATTTGTCCATCCCTGGAGTCATCTGGTGGCCAAAAGAATAGAATAGTCTTGTCAGGCCTAGGTCTTGCATTTAACTCTGGAGCCCAGAAGGAGGATCAGTGCCATTGTCATCAGAGCCTTGGACTGAAGCCAAACAAGGGGTGGTTTCCCAAAGGACCATCAAGACCTAAAAAAGTGAATAGGAAGTTCAGTTATAAAGCGCTTTCTGTTGCATGTGCACTGGAGCCATTTTCTGCTTCCTATTCTTTATACGATGCTTACAGAGTTCCTGCCATGCATCCTGGTGGGCCTAGAGATTTAGAGATGAGGTCCCATGGCCCTCACAGTCCATTGGAAGAGGCAGATGAGAAAATATAATAGAGTATGGGGAGTATTTGGAGAAATGTAAATCCAAGTTGCTATCACAGCCCATAGGAAGGGCTTCAGCCCAGCCTGGAATGGGGGTTGGGGGTCAGGGAAAGCTCGCTGAAGGACCTGATGTCCAAGCTGGGCCTTGAAGCCCAAGCAGCTGTAAGCCAGGTGAAGAGGGTATGGAAGAATGAGGCTGCGGAGAAAAAGCCTGGCCTACTGCAAGCAGATACATGTGACTCAGTGTTGTTGGAGCAGATCATGAGGGCCTCACCGAAGGGAGATATGCCTTACCTTGATGATGATGGAAAGGCGTTGAAGGAGCCAAACTGCAGGAGGGCAAAAAGAAACACTGCTGCGTCCAGAGACTGTAACATGGGCCTACAGTCACACAGCTTGGATTTGGAGCCACAGTGCAGCACACTGTCTATCTGTGCAGCTATGGGACATGCTTCCCACCAGCAGTGCCGTCATCTCTCAAGGTGTGAATTTGTTTTGGGGAGATTTTTATAAACTTATTTTGTGTATAAAGCACAGATAGACATATGCATAAATAGCACTGTGCGTTCATGGTACTAAAATTGGCACTGGGCAGTTAGGGGGGAAAAGTCTCAAAGGGCCACCTTAGAGGAGCTGCCAGTGAAAAGCAGGTTGAGAAATGCTGCCTTAGACAAAGACTTCTTCACCAACTTCAGTTTCCTCATCTGCAAAATATATAGTTAAGAAATGGGCCACAAGTTCACGTGAGGATCCAGTGCAGGCGATGGAAAGTGCTTGTCCTGGTGCCTGGCTCCTGGTGAATATGCAGGCATTACTTGTGTTATACCAGATCTGACTTCAGGGAAAAATGGAAAATACAACTCTGGGTCCTGGTATGCCTCAAATGAAGTTGTTTTTTAATAAAATCAAATGCACAGATCTAAATGAATTTTGTCCTTTAAATGTCATCACATTGTATTGCTGTACACAGCTTGCAATATGTCCATTGCATACAACATGCTTGAAAATAACTTTTGGAATTTCTTTATAGAGTTCATTCTTTTGAAGAATCTCAGTTGTGCAAAGTATTTATCCTAGAAATAGATAAAAGTCATCTGTTTGGAGCTAAATATAGCATAAATGTAGGTTAACCAACTGAACAGAACCACTTTGGGACAAAAAAGGAAAGGGGTGACTATCAAGTTAATGAAATTGGTTTGGGTGATGCTCCTGATAGGCCTTAAAGGCAATTCCAGAGGAGGACATTCCTAAGTAACTGGGTTAAAGACATGACCCCGTTCCCTTCCCCAACCCCAGGAAACAACTCTGAAACCCAGTGGCCAGCCATACTAATTCCCAGTCGGCTGTATTAGAGAAAGGTTCATTGCTACTGCAGCAGACATACCCTAGCACCCCATTGGCTTCATAGCACACAGAGGCTTACTTCTCACCCATGTGAGGTCTGATAGAGTTGGGCAGCCCTCTTCCACTGGTGGAAGAGCACGTAGCTCCCAAATTGCTGTAGCAGGGAAAGAGAAGTGAGGAATGCTCCGAGTTCTCAACTCCTTGGTCTAGAAGTGGAACCCTTCACTCCTTCATTCACCACTGGCTATAGATGGTCAAACAGCTCCAAGAACACAGATGATGTAGAAGGAACACGTGGGTATTTGTTAAGCACTGCCCTAGTATTAGTAAATATTTAGACCCATTGGCATCATTGATTTATGTATATATTTCCTGAAAGGAAGAACTTTGGAGACCAATCATTAGTCTATTTGAAATTTGACAGAAACTAAAAACTATGAGCAGAAACCTCGGATACCTGTATGTCTGAGAGACCTCAGGTATCAGTCTCATCGGGGACTATTTGAGCAGTGTTTTTATAGGCAGCAACATGGATCTTTGGGGAGACATTTATTCTAAAATACTTTAACTGAGATGTTTCAGGTAGGATGTATAGGTAGGTTGAATGGCCCTTGCAAAGGTCTGCCTTGAAGAGCCGTAGGAACCAGACTCTGTCATAACACAGAAGTTGCTAATCGAATTAGGAAGAAATGTGTGCAAAGTGATTTTGGACAAGGGGCAGGGTTGTGAGGCAGATACTAAAAATAAAATCAACTAATAGTTAAAGCTTTAATGGCACCCTATGTGTGCCTTAAAAATATTGTAGACCATATCAAGCATGCAGAGGTTCAGAGCTACTGGAAATAAGGGAAAAGAAATCAATTCGAAAGTTTTCGAAGTGTGCCATTTTGGCCTTACTACTTAAGATGGTAGGAAAACACACCTTTTGAATTGCATTCCAGGAGCTCCGTATCTTGGACAAGAGAAGCTGTTTATATGGCACTAATGTGCTGACGTTCCTGAAAAGACTTGGAGCAGCCCAGTTGCTGCCACTCAGAGAGAAGAGGAAAATTTTTGGAAGGTTTCTTTTTGATTTACGTAATTTGAGGTTAATGGTGGGAGAGAAGCTGTGTGCCCAGTGTCCAATCAGTGTGCTAGGGGGTGCAGCTTATTAGTTGTGCCGTAGAATAGTGTAGCTACTATGAGCAAGGCATTTCTGTCTGCTTAGAATTGTATTACAAAGATACCTTTAATTTTTTTTTTTCTGTAATCCTGAGGGACGTCGCTTAGAAGGTAGTTCTTATTGCTCTGATGAGTAATGTCTCACCCCTGAAATGGCTCTGTATATCTAAAGGTTCTTGAGCAAAGAACCTTTTTTTGAGATGGAGCTTTACTTTCATTGCCTAGGTTGTAGGGCAATGGTGCGATCTGGACTCACTGCAACCTCCACCTCCTGGGTTCAAGCGATTCTCCTGCCTCAGCCTTCTGCATAACTGGGATTACAGGCGCCCATCACCACGCCTGGCTAATTTTTGTATTTTTAGTAGAAACAGAGTTTCGCCAAGTTGACCGGGCTGGTCTCAAACTCCTGACCTCAGGTGATCCACCTGCCTTGGCCTCCCAAAGTGCTGGGGTTACAGGCATGAGCCACTGCGCCCGGCCAAGCAAAGAACATTTTATGACTATATATCATACTAGACATGTACTCAGCAGATTACACTCCCACCTAATTAGTACACAAATCCTAGGAAATAATTAGTATTATGTTCATTTTGCAGACCAGAAAACTGAGGCTTAGTAAGATCATGTGACATGCCTAAGTCACAGGGTTAATTTTTGGTGGCCTGTGGATTTGAACCCAGCCAATTTGATTTCATAGTCCACTGTCTTAACCAGTACGTTATCTTGTCCGGAGGAGGAGGAGTGTGCCTGGAGGCATATACTTCCCTCCACAGCCTACTTTATAGTGTGTATCAAAAACACTCTCTGGGAAAAGGGGATGTCTCCGCTGCTGTACGTAGCAGTAGTAAGGCCAGATATAAATCATCCTTTGTTTTGGATTTGCCAAAATCACGTGGAAGAAAACTTAAAATACCAATGACAGTTTCACGTGTTCTAGAAGCTGACTGATGGCATTCACTCAGTTACATCTCCATTATTTGAGAGGATTGTGATGTTGAATAATTTAACGTATTTGGTCTTAGTCCCAGATGATCAGTGCTAGTTTTCTTGATACTAAATGTAATATCTTATTGACTATAACGCTAACCTGGAAAAAGACTTTCCAAAAGTATAGAGAAGTTTTGCTTCTCAAATTCAGCTAGGGCTGAGCTGACGGCAGATTCTGGAACAGAAAACTGGAAACTCTCTAAGTGGGAATTGTAACATCTGACCCAGGTTTGTTAAAATTTGGTAGGAGAAGGATTTCACACCCTGATCTTGTAGATTCACTTCAGCACATGACCGAGCCATCTGTAAATTCTGTGGTAAATCAGTCAACACCAATTTAGCCATGTATGCAAATAGGAAGAGGTCTCTCTTTTATTCAAAGTCCCATCTTTAGAGTTTCAGAAATTTTGCCATGTGTTGGTGCCTCCTCATTAAGAATGCTGTTCATGAAAACAAGTGAGTTTTGTTGACATCGCAATTTTTTTTCTTTCCTGGATGTTCAGTGGGAGACAGAGTGTAATAAATATGAAGGGATGCAAACCGCAAATGTGTGGGGGATTTGTGTTGGCATAATGGAGGCTCAGGCAAACAAACAGATGCATGCGGGAGTCGAGGGTGGCGTGTGGTAACACCCCTCTCTTGCTTGAGGGATGACTGACCACATGTGCCTCACTGGAACACAGATCCCTCCTGTATTGCCGCAGTAGCAACAATGACACCAGAGCTGCTGTCAGCCCAGGCACATGCTCTTCACCCATCTGCGCTAACGGCCGACGCTTCCGAGTCTACTTGATGACGACTGGATTTTGGTATAGGTGTTTGTCCCCTTTTCACCCCAGCAAAGTCACAAAGGAGACGGGTGTCATAAGAATGATTTCTCCCATGCAGGTGACTGTGAAGCTACAGGAAAGGGGAAACACCCCTGCTAATAAGCAGCAGTAATGGCTGAATTAATACAGAGAACACCTTATGTTACTGAATCCTGCAGCAGCCATGCGTGGTAGGCAAGGCGCATCAGGGCCTGCATCATGCTTGTCCCAAGAGAGGAAAGAGTTTCCAGAAGGGGGAATGACTTGTCCAGGATCAAACAGCTTGCAAGCTTTGGAATTTCTCAGACTTAGGGTTTTGGGTATTTTGCTGACCTAAGACCCTTTATGGCTGGCCTCTTGACTCCTCTGTTAGTTCATTCAACATTTCTTAAGCATCTGGTTAGTTCCAGGCACTGAAGAGCCATTGAGGGGACAGAGTTCCTGCATTTAAGGGGTTCAGACCTTAGAGGAAGAAAGAAGCAGGTAAATCAAGGTTATCCCAAATAGAGGTTGAAAACTGGTGGTCTTCAGACCAGTTTTATTTAGCTGACATTTATTTTCAAATCTTGAATTATTTAGAAAATAGATTTGAGGAAAAACCTCAGTTGTCTGGCTTCTTGTGATAAACTGGAAAATTTAGCAACATTGTTCCCAGATTCCCTTGTGTCATTGGTGGCTGGATGGAGCCATGATGGCCCACTGTTGAGAAGCACTCCCTTGCCAGTTTGCCAGTCCCTGCCCTTCCCGCTGTTCCTTGCCTGTTGGGCCACTGTGGGTGGTTGAATTTGCATTCCCCTGGGTTGCAACAGTGATCAAGGAAAATAGCATGGTCTGGGAGAGACTCTGACCACAGCCAGGGTTAGGTGAGGAGGAGAGGGAGCCAAGAAGACTTTCTTGGAAGAGAGAATGTTTGGGCTGTATTTTTTACAAAGCAAAGAAAAAGAAAAAGTGGTCCAAGCAGAGGTCACTGTGTAGGAGATGACCCAGAAACACTGGATCATGGCGCATTCATTGTTTCTTAGAGCAAAGTCTGCCAAACTGCCCTTCCTTCATGCAAAGAAAAGTCCACTGTTAGGAGTACAATCAGATTCTTTTCTGGAAGATTCTACATGTGCAAAGGCACTGGGTCAGTCCCAGTTGCTGAGTGTCCTTTTAATGCTGAGGGAGAGAGTGAGAATCTAAAAGGTAGGTGTATATAAAACTTTCTCTAATCTGGAAAACTCTGAGCTTCGGAGTCATTGTTTTTCATGGGTTGGTGTGATCACCTTTATCTTTTCTACCAACAGACCATTTACTGGACCACAGGTATTCTGGCATCATTTTTTTCTTTTAAAACTGCTGAGTTTGCCATTCTTTTCTTTTTGGAACCCATATCTGTGGCCATATTTCAAGACTTTTTTTTAATCATTAGGAATGATTTTTACAATTCAGCTTTTCAAAGCTTGACAATGTGTCAAGCCATTGGGGAGAGCTCAGGCGCATTCTGTGATGCCAAAATATGGCTTGCCTCAGAGGGTCTGAGTTTATGATGACACCGTGGTGTTAAACTATCTTGCTCTGAGATGCTAAAAGGGATGGGGGCAGGGAGTCTTTTGAGGTCCCCAGCTGTTCCTGGAGGTGGTCACCTCCTTTTTTTTCTTTCTCCAGATGACTGTGGTTGAAGGTCTGGTTCACATGGCAGCTAAAGCTGCCGGTCCCAGGCAACTTTTTGCTCAATAACTGTTTCCCAAATGGCTACTCAGGGGCCTTTCAGAATTCACGAGAGCTGTCAGTTGTTATAGTAACCGCCCCCCTGCTGTCAAGTTGGCCCTGAGATGCCAGTGGAAGCTCTTGGAACAAGCCAACACATAGTCATTAGACAAAAGCGGAAAGAGATTCACTGCTAAAGGTTGCCAGTTAAACATGCTCCATGATACTTAAAAAGCTGGACTGATTCTGTTAGGGAAGCGGTGGGTGGGTAAGTTTTTAAACCGAGCTCATTTTTCAGGAAAGGGAAACTCCTTGTATGTTCAGTCTATTCTAGGTAACAACCATCTTTCTTTGGATTTCTCAGAATTAACTGTCTTCTCCCCCCAGGGTTGATTATGTGTGTTCTGCTGGGTTGCTCAGGTGGCCTCAAATATCTCAATTATTCAAGATATTAGGTATTGATTGTGTGGCATTTGCTTCTCAGCTAAAGTGTTGTCAGTTTACGGGTGGTAGTTTTAAGCGCCTGTGATTGTGTGTGAGGAAAAGCTGCGGGGATAGCCGGCTCCGCTCCAAAATTCCTGAAAGAGTGAATCTGGCAGAACTCAGAGTAGGGCTAAGGGTTGAGAAAAAGTCTAAATATTTTAGGAAGCTGCAAATTTCAAGTTTTTATGAGAATTTGTAAAAACATTCCAACACACTCATGATTTCTTCAGATTAATGTTCATAGCCACACGGAGTATATCCATGATGTTTGTAGGACAGTTGTTGTAGTTCCAGAATGCACTCCATAGAGGGAGACAAGAAGTTCTGCGTTACAGCAACCCCTCCCCCCTTTTTCATCGCCTTCCAAGTTTGACTTCTCAAACTTCAGGTTCCTGTGCCAAGCACTTTTACCCAACATGGAGTCTAATAATTAACACAGTACTTGAAAGCTTGAATTAAGGGTGAAGAAAACCTGACAATCAAGAATTAGAGAATGTTCATTCCTAGAAGTAAAAAACCACCAGTGGACTCAATAGTTAACCAAATGTTTACTCCTTTGGAATTACATACCTGGCTTCAGAATTCGGTGTGGGATTCAACAGAGCTTCCAAAAAAGAGAACTTCCATATAGCTGAGTTTGTCATTGCTATTTTATCAACAGAGCTTGGAAAGAATAGGAATCATTTCAGTGTGAAATCCTATAGCCCAGCTGGTTTAGGAGACTAAATATAATTAAATAAATACTTCAAGTGTTCTTGTGTGACAGAAGTGCATCTTTCAAATTCTGTAGCCAAGTCTCAGATGCTACAGTTATTTAAGTTTTAAGGGGAAACTAAATATAGGACTTAATATATAGTAATAACTTGCCAACTGCTGTTCCCGTCTCCCTTAGGTGCCTCTCCTACTTATTCTGCAATCTGTATTGTGAATTAGGAACATGTTTGTTCTGAGATGAGAGGAAAGCATGGGGTAGAAGACAAAACCCCAGATTTGTCTAATGGCACCAGATTCAGAGACATTTGTGGCAGAAGGGAGGACCAAATGATCCCCAAGTTCTGTTTACTCCAGTGATAATTTAAACCATTTTATTTGCCAGGGCAGTGTGTCAAAGGTGGAAGAGCAGGTATATGAATGACAAGGGTCATCACTGTGTTTGTGGTATCCCAACCTTCCATTAACACCAGGGTAACAGAGGCTGCGAATATGTAAAGATGACTTACAAGAGTAAAGTTCCCACTGGGTGTTTCTTACCTCAGCATAAAAGCTGTTCATAAAGTCCAGACAGCTTTGTGCCTAAGCATCCTCTTTTGAAAATGTCATTAACGAGGCCTGATGACGGGGTCTGTCTGTGTTAGAGGGGAGGGGAGGGCATTTGTATGGAACTCTTGGTGGCCAATTGAAAATACTGTATTCTACACCTGTTCTCTTTTGTTTTTTGTCCATTTAGAGGGTGTAACAAAATAAAGTCCAAGGGCTTTCCCAGACGTTTCCGTGAAGTGCCTTCTTCTGGGGAGAGAGGAGAGAAGGGGAGCAGGTGAGGGGCGGTCAAGCTTAAGTGGGGGGTGTCTTGATGGCCGGGACTGGCTTGCCAAATTTTTGTTTTGTTGCCATGGGGATGAAAGTCTTATAGATGGCACAGTGCTGAAGCTCACCTGTTCTACCTGAATTCCCAAAAGTAAGACTTGCAAATATCAATTCAGCTTGTGTGTAGCTGGGAGCAATTAAAGTATGTCCTGTGTGTGCTTGCTTTGCTTTATTTTGCAGTTTTGGGGGTGTTGTTTCTGGGTTTGTATGTACTGGGGGTGCTCTATGTGTGTCTGTATGTGTATTGCATCCACTTTCTTTCCAAACTTTCAGATATTTGCATGTTTTTGAGCTTTAAAAATAAACATATAATGCATGCGTTTGGCCTTATGTGAAAAATACCTCTTAGAAACCTAAATTTGTAGATAAGTTAGGGATGAAGACTAGGAAGTGGGGAGAGAAGTGAGCAAACATGGATGTACTTGTGTTTTTCCCTAAGAATGATGAAATGTTTTTTGAAAAAGGACGCACATATGAGTTCTGGATGGTTTGAATACTTGGAAAAATTATTGTCCTAGAAACATTTATAATAAATGTTTGAAACTCATGACTGTACAGTCTTAATCACCACACTTGAATCTCTTGATAATATTTCTGTAAGGTCTGTCTTAGGCAAACTCTATTTAATATTAATATCTTTTAATATTAAAATGATAATTAGACTCATTCACTAATCCATATTATGTCATGAGCAGTCCCTTTTTACTTTCAATGAACCAAGTTATAGGATTTATGCTAGAATTTTTATATGGAATGATTCATCTCCATTGGTTGTGCGTAAATCAGAGTACTAAGACAAAATTTTCGATATCCAATTATTATGATCAGATAAACCTATGAAATCTGAGAAGGTAAAGATTAGGATTATGACAGATTAATGAGAAGGTACATGATCTATTTTCTTTTATACTATACGGTGCAATTTTGGCCTTCTAGGGAAAGCAGTAACTGCTAACACTGATAGCTAAATTATTCTGTGATCTCTTTTTGCTTATTAATGTCTTCACTTTCTAATATGTTTTCAAAACTCTTAGAAACTGAAATAGGAACTTCTCTGTATAGTTTTGGATTCAAAGACTAATCTTACGAGGGGAAGACTTTGGACATCACTTAAATGCCTAAGTGTCATACCTAGTCCATTCTAAATAAATGTGTTTTTGATTGTAACACGTTCAAAGAGCCAGCTGCACGTTATGAATATCACAAAGATAAATGCACATCCCATTTCAAGTCCTCCCCAGAAGTGATGCTATAGCCTGCCAGACTATTTCCTTTATGTATCTGGACCCCCACATGTCAGTGGTCCCATTGTAGACATATTTTGGAT